CCCCCCGCCTCTTTGTCTTCAAAAAACTCGCCCCCCCCCCCCCCCCCCCCCCCCCCCAGCATTTTTGTTAAATAGCCCGATGTGCATCTACAACTGATTAACTTTTAGAGCTACTAGCACTATTTAAAATGGTGACCATGACCATCTAAAACAGGAAAAAAAGGCTTTAAGTCAGTCAAGTTTACATCATTGAGCTCAAGTTTTGTGTGGTAGTAGTTGAGACTCATCCCCAACACATACTTGAAGCCAGTGATTAATTTGAGCTGGATCCTGCCGGAACAAAATCCAGGAACTCCCTCATTTTCACCTTGTGTGTTCCGGCAACTGTTTGTTCGGATCCAGCAGCTTATATCTCAGCTCATAAAAGTCATTACCCATTTTTATTTTGATTATGTATTAAAAATACAACGATAGGAGATGTTGTCCATGTCTATGGAGTGGATGTTACTGCTGCAGCAGGCGCAACAGGTCGTGCACACGCTGCTGCCAGCAGAAACGCTGACCGCATGTTCCGCAGGGATGAAGTGTCTTCATCCACCTTCAGCTGTGTCTCAGAAACCAAAGCAGCACAAACGAACATTTTAACGGCACAAACCAGCACCAACTTAGCATTAACCACTCATTGTATTTACTGGACTTTTTGACGTGGGTGGGGTGTCAGCTTCACCTCGCTCAGCTGTGCCCGACAGAATCGGAGTTGCTCCATTCACTGCTCTCTAAAATAATAATTTCAATTCAACCTGTATTTATATAGGTTGTTGGTCTCATTGAGCCTCGAGGACTCATTTACAAGAGAGATCTGTTTTTAATCAGTTTAATCAAATGTTTACAGATGTTTAACAACCTGTTAAAATACACCAGAATGCAAGAAATGGCATCTCTTTTATTCCAAATTTTCTGGGGGAGGGCCCACGGACCCCCCCTTGTGTTCCGGCATCAATTGGTTTACAAATTAAGCCCTGCTTGAAGCACTAAAAAAAGTTTACAAGATTTTATTTTAAAAAGTTTACATTATCGATCTGTTCCTCTGTTAGCACAATATCTGATAAACCACTTGATGAATATTGTGAAACTTCCATAAAATGATAATTTACTTTTACAACTTGTTGATTTTGGAGCCAATCCAAATCAAGTTGGCAGTCACAGGACCTGACCAACTGACCTTAGAAAACACTAAAAGTCCAATCCAGTCATTTTACAGTAGGCTAATTGTGCTCACATTTAGTGTGGTAGTAGCTGAGTGTCATTCACAACACATACTCTGAGCATGACATCTAACATTTTAAAATGGGATTGGGACATAATACAGTATTTTCAAGGTATGACCTAAATGGCTACAACTCGTTTATTTCATTTCTTAACATAAAATGATCTTAGTCTAAAATTCTGGCCTTTAATTTTATAAATAACCTCAGTTGAACTGTTTATTTTTGTCAGTGCACAATGAACATGTTAAGGAATTTGTTAAAACTCTTAACTTTAGTAAATGTGTTAATATTGTAAAATGTCTGTCTTAAGTCAAACATTACATTATTGTTAACATTAAAATAATGACTTATTTTAGATAAACTTTTAGGAGTTGAAGTTATTTTTCTGAAAACAGATAATGTTTGTAACAATTGCAAGTTATTGCTTGCAGTTTTTGGACATCTCCATAAATGCAGACAAAATAAAGAAAAGAAAAGCTTTGCAGAGAGTGGTGAAGGCTGCACAGAAATCTGTTGGAATCAGTCTCCCCACCATCACAGACATCTACACCTCCAGATGCAGGAAGAGGGCCACCTGCATCATGAAGGACCCCACCCACCCAGCACACACACTTTTTGCCCCACTCCCCTCAGGAAGGAGGTTAAGGAGCATTAAGTGTAGAACCACTAGACTGAGGAACAGCTTCTACCCTGAGGCTGTTAGACTCATGAATCTCTAACTAGAATAATCACTGTGAAAAACCATATCATGTTGCTGCTGATCTGTTTCATGTTGCTGCTGATCTGTTTCAATGTTGATGTGTTCATGCGTGCACATCTGCTCACAGACTCATGTTCATGTTTGTGCTGATGTTCAATGTTTTATGTTATGAGTGCTTAGTGTATATTTAGTTGATGTTTTTCTTAGTTCATATCTTAGATGTTATTACTGTTTTTCTTATACATTTTATTGTTGGATGTAACTGGGACCCTGTGTACATAATTTCGCTCCACCACATGTACCACATGAGGTGCGAATGACAATAAAGAAACTCTGACTCTGACTCTGACTCTGAAAATGAAAGTATAATGGAGATCAAACACTAAACTAAATAATATGTTTTTTAGTTGTTTTTTTGTTTTTTTTTACAGAAAGATGCTCAGGCTCCTGTGCTTTAATAGAATCTCATGTTCATAAACAGAATGTGTTCGTTCAGCTCATACCTGAAAGTCACAACAGTGAAATTCATCCTGTGCAAACTATGAGTTATACAACCCTCAATTTGCAACAATTAAACTAAACAGTTTATATTTTACAGTTCTACAGTTCAGTTTGTATTCTTTTTCTACGCTGTGGCTAAATGAAAGACACATGACGATCGGTACAAGCTGCAACTGCTTCAAGATGTAAAATTAAATATGAGACAAAAAGCACAATTGGATCCAGTGAACAGAGAAACAACAGCTAGGAGTCTGTGTAAAGTTATTTTCAAGTCAAATTACTGTTTTTATATAACCTTAAGTGCAATCAGCATCTGCCAATAAATGATCTCACAATGGGAAATGAATAGGTTTTTACGAATGCATGTGCATGCATACAACTTGTAGATGTGTGTTAGTTTTACTGCCTGTTTGTTGGGTTTTAATGATGCTGATGCTAGCTGTGGCTCAGCATCGAGGCGTTGCCTTGTTGCCAGTCATCTGGAACGATGTTGTGAAAAGTGTGCTGCCTGATACATTCCTAACCTGAGGCAGAAGAAGAAAAAACAAAGAGTTAACTTGTGCCTGCTGTCTTTTTAGTATTTCATTGTTACTTTGAGAGGGTTCTGTAAAGTCTTTTGCAACATTTGTGCCAAAGTGTGAGCGTGTTACAGCTGGGTGTGCACAGTGAGTCACAACCCTTCCTGTGCCAATCATTCATGCCAACTTTTAGTCAGAATTGTATGTTCTGCTGTTTTTGTCCTGAAGTGTTGTACTGGCACCTCCAGGGCTGGGCAGAACCTGTACATGCATGAGTACATGTTTGCGCCTGCGATCTGTGACTCTGCAGCATTCTGAGCTCTTTAATTAATGCTAGATTGAGCTGTATGTACCGGTACAACAAAATCTTTTGGGAAAGCACAAAATTCAAAAAGGGGAGAGAAGGGAGGAGGAGGACAAGTAAAAACTAGAAAGCATTTGCTGTGGAAATGCAACGTGAATGCTGTGCTGAAATTTGCTGTAGAAGCTAAAACTGAGTTGTTGAAACTAAAAGAAGCACAACACTAGCTAAAAGCTACCATGAGTAAAATACTAGCTAAAAAGAAGTAAAATGCTAGCTAAAATCTAAATGTAACAATAGTTAAAAGCTTAAATGAAAAAATACTAGTTAGAAGCTAAAAGCAGCTAAATGCTAGCTTAAACTCAAAAGATAAGATGGAAAACTTTATTGATCCCGCAGGAAATTGTTGTGCCAGAGTTTCAGGACAAAGAAACATGCACAAGGAATCGCACAAGATATAAAAAACAGAGAATAAAAAGTAGCAAAAGTCTAGTTAAAAGCAGCAAAATGTTAATTAAAAGCTACAAGTAACAAAATGGAGCTAAAAGTAGCTAAATACTAGAAGTAGCAAAGAGTTAAAAAGCTAAAAGTATTAAATGTAAGTTAAACGTTCTAAGTAATAAAAGGCTTATTAAAAGTATCAAAAGCTAAAAGTAACAAAAAATTGATTATGAAACTAAAAGTAGCAAAATGCTAGCTAAAAGCAACAAAGTCTAGCTAAAAGTAGCAAAAGACT